TGGTCGTGCTGGGGGGGTGGTCGTGCTAGGGGGTGGTCGTGCTGGGGCGTGGTCGTGCTGGGGCGTGGTCGTGCTGGGGCGTGGTCGTGCTGGGGTGTGGTCGTGCTGTGGTGAGGTCGTGCTGGGGTGTGGTCGTGCTGGGGTGTGGTCTAGCTGGGGTATGGTCGTGCTGGGGTCGGGTCGTGCTGGGGTGTGGTCGTGCTGGGGTATGGTCGTGCTGGGGTGGGGTCGTGCTGGGGTCTGGTCGTGCTGGGCTGTGGTCGTGCTGGGGTATGGTCGTGCTAGGGTGGTCGGGCTGGGTGTGGTCGTGCTGGGGTGTGGGTCTTGCTGGGTGTGTCGTGCTGGGGCGTGGTCGTGCTGGGGCGTGGGGCGTGGTCGTGCTGGGGTGTGGTCGTGCTGTGGTGAGGTCGTGCTGGGGTGTGGTCGTGCTGGGGTGTGGTGAAGTCGGGATTTCAAAAACAAGCGTTTCGCTCGAGACATCCTCAAATTTTAATTCGCCGGCCTCAAAAACAAGCGTTTCGCTCGAGACATCCTCAAATTTTAATTGCCGGCTCGTTATTTATCATGGAAAAAATTCGCCGCAATTCGCCGGCTCGTTATTTATCAGGGAAAAAATTCGCCGGCAATTCGCCGGCTCGTTATTTATCAGGGAAAAAATTCGCCGGCCTCCTTCAAGCAGGCACCGGGGGACTAGTTTACCTAGTACAAAGAGAACCCTGGGCTCTTGCCCTTTCCGGGAACAAAGAGAACCCTGGGCCGGAGCCCTTTCCGGGAAAAAATTCTGGGAGCATGGAGAAACCGAAAAGGCCTATAGTTGGCTCCGGGCATGCAAAATCGGCCCCAGGAGTTGAATTCTGCGAGCATGAAGAACCCGAGGTGGCCTACAGTTAGCTCGGGGTATTCAATATCCGTCCCAAGAATAGAACGATGGGATCTTGGAAAACGCAAAAAAAATGCCTACAACTGACTGAAACACTCGAAATCAGCGCTAGAAATGGAGTTCTGGCGACTCGACGATTGGAAAGCATGTGTTCTTACGGTGTTTTGACTGGCCGCCTCGGTTTGCTGACATGAAGTGGGAGGGCCATAGGCGGGCAGGTCCCGCCTGAGACCTCCTCCCGATTCAGTCAGCCAGGACTGGGAGTGTAATTCTGACGACGATGATGGGATGGTGATAGTGACGATGATGATGGTGATGGTGATGAGCTGGTAGTGACCATGCTGATGAATATGACGATGACAACGGTGATGATGTTGATGATGATGGTGATGATGATGATGATGATGAGAATGATGATGATGATGATGATGATGATGATGATGATGATGATGATGATGATGATGATGATGGTGATGATGATAGTGGTGACGATGAAATTGGTGATGGAGCAAACTATGATAATTCATAGGCTTGCCCTATAGAAGTCCTAGCTCAAACCCTACTACTTGGTCTTTTACCCCCCCCCCCTAATTCATATGCCCCCCCCTAATTCCTATGGCTATGCCTATGCCTATGCCTATGCCTCCCCCCAACTCCGATGCCTACGCCTATGCCTATGCCTATGCCTGCTTGCTTGCTTGCTTGCTTGCGCGCTTGCTTGCACGCTTGTTTGCTTTCTGATTCCAAGCATGCTTGACTCCTCTGATTTCTTCATTGGAGTCGTCTAATGAATTTGGAGTCAACGCTGGCTGATATGATGATGATGATGGTGATGACGATGGTGATGGTGATGACGATTGTATACACTTCTCGATGTGTGCGTGTCATCCTTGCGCAGGGGCCATGCTAATACTCTCTGTATCGTTTCAATATTAGCGGACGATCCCCGAAGGGAATCCATGGTGATGATGATGATGGTAATACAATGTAATGATGAGAAGTATGACGGTGATGATAATGATAGTGATGATGGTGTGTGGGATTGATCCTGTTCCTGCGCGGGGCGAGTTCAGAGAAAACAAGATCCCAGCTTAGGATGTGCGGAACCGACCAAAAGAATCTCACGTGCGTAGAAGTCAGAAGCACACCTACTGCATTACTGCTGCGAGCGTTCCAACAGACAACAACCACAACATTTCTAGATGTTGCCAAACAAATATTGCGAAGATGTTGCCCGCGCGCATGTGCTGAAATCGTATCGAAACCAAATGATTTGACCAGTCTCGTCCAGATTCGCATTCCCATCTCACGTAGCGTGGCATTTGCGTTGACTTAGCACGCGCCCACTGCACGAATCTGCACCCAATGGCGCCATGCGGTCCACACGCGCGCGCCGCCAGGGGCGCGTCAAAAACTTCAGAACCATTGGTTCGAAACGTTTGCAAGCACAACGCTTCAAGAATATATGATAACCACGTGAATTCAATGAAAAATACGCGCCGGGTATCTTGAATGTTTGCGTTCGCGCACATCCTCACCATCACCAATATCAGCGCCATCGCATCCCCGCCGTTATGGTCCTGGTCAATCGGCACCCTTGCCGCCATCACTCAATCACCTTCGTCGCCGACACATGGACATCCTCATCGCAATCGTCGGCGACAGCATTGGCGACGGCATTGGCCTTGCCGTCGTCATCGTCATCATCGCCACGACCTTCGCTGCTATCATCATCGATGTCACCGT